TAACTTTTGGTCAGCCCTAAAGTGGTCAGGCAGTTGGACTAGGTGATCGCTGTAGGTCCTCCTCTCCTCTCCTCTCCTCTCCTCTCCTCTCTTCTCCTCTCCTCTCCTCTCTCTTCTCTTCGCCCCTTGCCCCCATTAAGTACAAGGGAAGATGAATGTGTCACTCAGTACTACCAGCCTTGCTGTGACTTGTGATATGTCACAGAAGGAATGTGATATATTCCCATGCAAATTTGAAAAGGAAAATATTTAGTGAGAATTAAGATCATGTTACTAAGCACAGCACAGTGATGTCAGTAATGTATGTTTTATCTTGGACATGGCTCTGGGTGTCTGGATGATTCTCTTGGAATCTCATGGATTCTCTTCATGAACTTGCCTTCAAGGCAATTTTTTTTTTTTTTTCTGTCCATGCTTCAGTTTTAGCCAAGATAATTACTAGCTAATAAATGTTCATCAGCCCAATGAGGAAGGAACGCAGTCTGTGTGGTTAGTTACCCTCCTAATCACTCTGCTTTGTGGTGCTTGCTTTTAAAGTCCAAAAGTGTTTTTACCTGGTGTACTAATTATTGTCAAAATAAGCAGAGACTCTGCCTTGGGGAAAGTGGGGAGAGAATTTGTTGAAAAGTACCAGTATGACATCTGAAATTTGGAAGAGTCAGTATGGTGACAAAGAACATAACCATCAGCAGATTTGCTCTTCTAATTGTCATGTATACATTGGGGAAAAGTGTAAGAAAAGAGAACAGCAAATGGCTTAGCTTTTTCATAGGTTTGCTATATGACAGTGTATAAGTCTATTTTTCAGTAAACACCAAGTCATTGCCTCATTATTACCTGGCAATCAGCAGGTAAATTCCCTGCCATGCAGCCATTGGAATATATACTTTCTTGCTGGACATGGCAGGACTATTTTTAGAATCAAACACATTATTTAATAACTAAGGAGCATAGTTTTCTATACTGACCTATGTACAGGGAGTATGTAGATAGCTTGAGACTAGATAATGATTGCTGAAATGCCAGTGAGGAAATAAATATAGTAGCCCATCTATGAAATCTCTGAATTTAATAATTAAGCAGCAGCTATTGAAGAGATGACTGTATTCCTGTCTTTACTGCATTATAGTAAATTGCTTTTCTGATTTAGAACAAACTATACTAGAAAGTATTTTTTATGAAAATAAAATAAATGCCAATGCCTGTTGAACCTATTTCTTCCAAAGGGAGACAATTTTCTATTATGTAAGTATCCTCTCACGCTCAGGGCCATCAGATCTGGAATACCCCGCTACTGGGTGGCGATTACAGAGACTTCTTCAGCAGGCCAGTAGTCTGTTCTGGTATTCTGCCCCTCACTTCCCATACTCAGAGACCAAGATGATAAGCCAAGCAAACACCAGCTGTGTGAGAGAAAGAAGAGGAAGTGAAGCAGTTTCTTTGGCGGCTGATAACTCAGAAGTGTGAACTGCGGTCAAACGAAGGTTTGCAGTGGCCCTCAGACCTGACAGTGAGAGGTGTCCAGAAACATTGTGGCAGGCAGCCCGCTCTGGAATACTAATGTCTCTGATTAGACCACTCTCATTTCTCTGGAGTTCCTGGGGGTGAAAGGAAAAAAGGAAAAATAAAATTACATGATCTGGTTTTAAGTTGGGAGTCACAAGATTCTGGCATAACACTGCAAGTTTTGGATGCATTTTAGTGTTTTCTTGCTGTCTGGATGCATAACTAGCCATCTCAGAGAAAGTCACGACTTATGGGTCTCCCCTCTGACAGCAGAGAAGGTCTCTGAGAGAGAAGAAGATGGAGTTTTGATCCTTTCCCAATTTAGGAGATTTTTTTCCCCTAGTTTACCTCTAAGATGAGTAGGTACTGGACTGATGTACTGAAATGCAGCCAGATAAGTAAGAGCCAGGAAACTATGTCCCATGTATGTAGATTTTCTGGATCATCCTAATTCCCTTTGTATGCACATTGTCTGAGGGACCCTCAGCACTATTTTACTGCTCATTCTGTCAAAAATGCACTGCCATGGCATCACCCCCTAGGCACTGTTATATTACCTATAGAAAAGACACAAGAGTGTTTTTTCTCTTTAGAGAAGAATTTTCATCTTTTTAAGTTCGAAGTTAAGTGGTGACTAAATATGCCTAGGGCAGTTACTTGCAACTGCAGCCTAAGAGACAGGACTTCATCATTCAGGTAAGCCCTTACAGTTCCTATAGCCATGGATAAGCTGTGAATAGCTGGTGTTACCCAAGGTGTTGTGCGTTGGCTTTATCTCTCAGCTGTGCTTTACTCTTGGAACATCAGAGCCGAGTCCATTTCCCCAACCACAAATTGCTCAGAAGGGGGACTTACATTAATGGTTTTAATCATGACTACTTGATCTGCCTCCTTGGCTGCTTGCTCTGCAATTTTGACAGTCTCATTGTCCCAGTCAACAAAGTCCATGACCATCATTCCTTCCACTGCACTGGGGAGAGAGTAAGGGGCAATGGGGAGGTGGAGAAGACAAACAATGAGATGAGGAAGGAGGAAAAAAGAAAGGAGGGGGAAAAAAAGATAAAGGAGAAGAGATTCTTAAAGTATCACAGTTGATAGATTCCTGCAACAAGGGAGTTCAACTTGACAGGTCCAGATGTATGTCCCTTTCTTCCCTATCAGCAACATTTCATTTTCATTATCTTGTCCTTTTGCCATTCTTCATAGCTACATTTTGTTCTGCTACCTCCAGAAACATGGTGACTCAAGACTCACTCTGAGGCCTCCTGCTTGTGTACATGTGCAACATACAAAATATCAGGGTAGCCCATACAACTGGAGATGTTGTTACGAGGGTAGTAGAAGAGGAATGTGAGACACATCTCATTCATGGTGCTTGGCCCACCCTGCAAAGACACAAGGATGACTCAGAGGTCTGCTGAGACACAACGAGGAGACTATTTCTCCTCAGGGAAGCACTCTTTTTCACAGCTCATGCAGATCCTGTCTGGTAAAGAAAAAGAATTAATTTGTTCGTCTGAGAGTTAGAAACAGAATCAAAGTATCCTCACAAGAGTCTGATAAATAGGCTGCTCTGTGGGTTTATAAACTAAATCTACTTATTCTTTCCTTCAGGAAGACTACTATATTTGTATTTCTGTCTACAAGATCCCAAAATCTGAAACTCTGGGAAGTTCAACTAAAACTTTCAGGGAATTAACTGAGTGTGACATCCAGATCAGAATTTTTCAGTTGATCTCTACGTTTGGAATAGCCCCATCCAAAATCAAACAGTGTTGCTCTCTGTGAATATAAACTCTGTAATCCTCTTTAGGTTGAATCTCAGTTTCTTGTGCACATTTCTATGTGCAATAACATCGTTAACTCCTCTGCATGGCATATGCTGTAAAATAAGTTATGAAGTATGGCAATAATTGTTTATGTGCTAAGTTCTGCAAAACTGATGCCTGGTCTGAATAAGAAGAACTAAAAAGAATATCTTCATATTTTGAGAAGTCCAAATCAGATCCAGCTGCCAGATTATGTCAGTTTCTGTATTTGACTTCTGCCTGTCCACTAAATCCAAGTGTTCAATGATTCAAAACCAACTCAGCTGCAAATTTTGCTACTTGCACTTGACGTTTTGGACAAGAGTTAGCTTGTATGGTATTAGATGCAAGCTAGCTTTGGGACCTGTTCATAAGCTTATAGTAGGAAGGTCTTGCTGGAGAGCTACTCTCCAGCCATGGAGCAACTGTGCAAGGCATGCCTCAGTATGTCTGTGATACTGTGTCTGACACAAGAAGCTTTTGCCAGCAATGTATTTGCTTGGGGAAGAGAGATGTCTGCCCAAAAGATTTTAATGGTGATAAACTAATGTTAAAAGCAATGGAAGATTTGCAGGTAGAAAAACAAACTTACAAAAGTAATCCCTGACCGATCCAGTGTCTGAAAGTTGCATTCGACCAAGATCTCATCCCCCTAGGGAACACAGTAGGTCACACTGTCAGAACTGTACAGGCAAAGCACACAAAACAACCGCTCACAACATGGGGAACCAGGAAACTGTGTGAAAACAATGGGCCACAGCCTGAGGTGGAATGAAGGACAGAATATGTCGATGTGCTCTGACATCTCTGGTGCTCGCCACCTCCCCAGCCTGCCCACCCATGGCTACATCCCAGGGGAGGAATGTACTGGTTTGATTATGAGGATTTCCTTCATGTCCCGAATCTCCTGCAGTCTGAAGTCATACTTATTGTCCTCACAGATGATCCCCAGCTGCTCACCATTCCTGGGAAAGACAAAGGAGGGGAGAAAGTTATAATGTTTCCAGGGAGGGGTGTGGAATAACCGATTCCTGGATGAAATAAACAGACGAGAAAAAAACCCTCCAGAAATCATGCCTGATCTCTTTTGTATTGTAACTCACAGAATGTATTTTCAGCGACAGTCAGTCCCAAACATACACTGGAAGTTTGTCACCCAGCCCTCTTTGGTCTGGAGTCCAAATATGGACTTTTTACATGTTAGTAATTGTTGTGCCTTGAAACTTTCGCCTGTCAGATGACTGGCGTGAGCCTACCAGTTCACCTGCTCAGAGCTTGCCAGCAGTCACAACAAGCAAGCACGGGGTGCGACAGCTGCTGAGACAGCCTGGCCATGAGCGCCACAGGGATTTGTGGGCTGGGTGCCTTGATGCACCTTGCAGTGTGCACTGTGGACGTACTTAGCAAGATCTAAGGACCTGTAACATGGATGGAGAAGCAGCTGTCATCTGTCTGGGATCCCAGAAGTAAGAACTCCAATACTTGCAATACAAAACACTGTCCTAAATAAAAAGACTCTCTGACCCTAGCAGGGTAGAGTTGGCAGGCTCTTTAGGACCTCCCTTGCAGATGCAGAAGTATCACATGTGAATTCTTCCTTGCTATTTCTACAGTGCTTTGTGATATGCTTCTTAGGTGGTCTCTGCTCTGCTTGAGCGCTGCTTCTCCATCCATGTTACAGGTCCTTAGATCTTGCTAAGTACGTCCACAGTGCACACTGCAAGGTGCATCAAGGCACCCAGCCCACAAACCCTTGTGGTGCTCATGGCCAGGCTGTCTCAGCAGCTGTTGCACACCGTGCTTGCTTGTTGTGACTGCTGGCAGCTCTGAGCAGGTGAACTGGTAGGCTCACGCCACTGTCCAGCTACACCTTATAGCAAAATGGGTTCAGGAGGGAGGAGCCTAGCTTGGTGGCCAGGCTTCACAAAGTTCAAGTCAAAAAAGAAGATGCTCTGTCACGTGACACACGGTTTATGTATACCATGTGACTTGCATAAAGAGCAGGAGCCAAAAATTGTCTGGAACAAAATAACTCTGGCTAAGTCACTCATAGCAGCTATGTGTGACTTTTGGCCTATGCTGAGGTATTCCGGAATTAACACCTAAAAAGGAGACAGGCCTGCCCCTAAATTGCTATCAAAAATCACAATCTGCTATATTCTGCCAAGGTCAAGCTCCAAAGAGTCTGGGGTCTCCACTAATTGGACAAGTGACTAAGAACAACATAGTTATCCTACGTGTTACAGGGGAAATCCCAGAAAAAAAATAGTCACCCCAACTGTTCACTGTGCCTGAATCATCTCTGTTCAGAAGGTGTTTCAAGCACTCGACCTCCTCTGGAGCCTGTGCTTGAGATGGCTTCAGGACATGGTCCTAGCATGGTAAAATCTGTAAAGGTCATTTCTCAGATACATGCTCATCCTAAGTACATTGAACTGTTGCCTTAGTCCTCTTTAGACTGACCTCAAGTGATTCCTAGCAAAGAGACAGAACCTTCCATTTTCTTCTGAAGCCTAAGGAAAACTCTCCTGATTATATCACTCCCTGCTACTTGGAGCATGCCCTTGGAAGGTGCTAGCTACTGAGATGCAGGGAGGCTCACTCCTTTTCTCTTGTTGTCTAGTATAGCAGTCCAAATGTCAGGCCAGTTTGGGCGGGAGATCACTAGCATTGAAACTGAGGAATGGCTTTGAAGCCAATAGGTTTTACTGATGTCTACTTTGCTCCTTTTCCAAGAGACAACCATGTTTGCCAGCTATAATGTGCTACTCCTGAGAGACGCAGACAGGCATAATTGGGGAACACACATATTCACAAAGCATCTTTCAAGTTACAAAATTCCCATTTATTTAGTTTAGTTATAGCAGACCAAGTTTATTTCCTAAGGTTCTTAAAAAGCTTTCCCCTGCTTTTGCCATGTCACAGTTAGGCTGCAGAGGCTGCTAGGTGAGTATTTTGCAGATAACACTGGCCAGAGAGGGAAAGATACCCATCAGACAATTGTGTTAGATCCTATATCATAGGGTCGTGTATTGTTCTCTGGCTCACTGGCATTGACTAATTGTCTGCCTCCCTGTAACTGTCTGCAGTGTGGTGCTTGGCTCATGTTAGGTTATTCTGAAATTAGACACCTAAGGAGGAGATAGAATCATAGAATCATAGAATCATAGAATCATAGAAT